CGATTCGCGTAATTCGAAGTCGGACGGGCAATGCGCGCGTGCGCTTGTTGCAAAACAAATTACATCGTACGCGAGCTCGCGAAAGCTAATTATTATCCGGGCGCGATACAGAATGTCAATTACTTCTTACGCTCGCGCGCAGCACTTTGTTCGGCCGATAACTTCCCTAATGAAGAGAATTTCGGCTGGTGCGCGACCGTGTTTCCGGTCTTCCTCCGCAACTTTCTCGGCAGTTTCGCGACACGGAAGAGCGTTCCTCTGTATCTACATTCTCATTTACGTAGAGAGACAGACCGTCCCACGTATGTCGCTTTGTTACATCAAGGTAAATACGTAGCTTTTTTTATTTCTCGATATTGGCGCGCGTTACGATCGTAGATCTGCAAATTCCGAATATAGTTCAAAAATTCATATCGGAAAAAAGTAGAAAAAAAACTTCACACAGAAATAAATAAGAAAAAAAAAACGTCTGAAAAGCTAACGCAAATTACGCAAAACATTCGATGAGATTTCAGACCTAGCAGGGCGAAGATAAACACAAGACAGTCTGTTCAAGAAGAGACGCGCGTTCTCTCTCTGCGCGCATTTCGTTTTCTCGGCTGTGCACACGCGTTACGGACGCGCAAAAAAGTACCGTAAAATAGCGCGTACGAATTTGTACCGGTGCGCGCGTTCGGTGATGCACATAAGACGATGCGGGCGCGCAGCCGTGTGTGTTATTTTTACGACAACGTTCCTGCATGAATTCTAAAACCCCTTCAAAAAGATCCACTTACTACCGTGTGCGCGCGCGGCATCGTGTTTGCTCAGATCTCCATTGCCCCCGCGGAAAAGTTCTCGAGAGCCTCTTTTCGTCGAACATTTTCTGCGAATCTCCCTTCTTCTTTCCGCTGTCTTGTTTCAAAATAAACTGCCGATCAAAGGTCTCGTATCTTAAATAAGGCAAGTCGTTATATTTAAATTGATAGAAAATTCGCATTTAACTACCGTCCGGTCGTTCCCATTACCTTATTTGGGAGATGCGATTGTGCCAATTGTCTACAATAAAATATCAGATGAAAAGGAGTGTATGTGTGTAAGGTATTTTATCGCTGGCTCTGTGTGTGTTGTTGTCTCAAAACAATCGAAGATCTTACAGAGCAAGTTCAATTTTAATTGCTATTTATGATGTTACCAATTTGCGCGCATCTAATTTCTACGCGTGTTTTTACCCAGCTTGCGTCATTTTCAGAGACCACACGCATTTATATTCCGGAGTAAAATTAGTTTCAAAAAACACGTGGCAACTCAATTAATTTTTAATTTAAAAAATTTTCACAGCGTTTCTCATTCAAATTTTTGTGTTTTCGAGCAAAACAGAAAAAGATTTACTCCGGTACGTGCAAGCGCGATATGTAACTCGCGTAAATACACTTGTTAGGGTCGCGTTACTTCGAGAACGCGCGAGCTTGTGTCCCACTAGAGAGAGGGAGAGAGAGAGAGAGAAACAGAGAAAAATACGATAATATCGAAAAACGTACTTTGCTTCTTCGGTACATAGCCGAAATCCTTTTAGCTAATTTAATCGGATCTAATTCCATTACACAGCCGGCAGCAACCCTTAAGCCCGGTCGTTTCCATTGTTTCATTCCGTTAATTTCGCTCTTCTTTTTACTTTATTCTCGGTCTCGCGCACAAAGGGAAACCCCATCGAATGAGCGGAGGCGTGCTCATGCACACACGCTGCTTGCATCCCGTGCGTGCAAAGAGAGGAAGAGCGAGTTGTGCACGTGCCTGCTCGTATGCTCCGGGTAATCAGGCGCAATCTATCGGAAATGTTAAAAATCATTTTTTCTATCTCACCGCTGTCTCCCTCTCTCTCTCTCTCTCTCTCTCTCTCTCTCTCTCGTTCGCGCGCGTCTCTTTATTTACGTATAAAGCTACCCCTCTCGCGCGCTCATCCCTCGCCGATCGAATCGCCGCGGCGCTCCGTCGACGGATTTGTCCAATCGACCGCAATCACGTATCCGACCCGGTGCATTATAACGGCGACGTTATAAATGAACCGGCCGGCAAATAAAAGTTCGCAATGCAGAAACCGCATCTCTGGCTATATCCGCAATTGTGATATCGACGCGAGTGAGCGAGAGAGAGAGAGAGAGAGAGAGAGAGAGAGAGAGTGAGAGGAAACCATCATTCATCTTCTTTTTTTTTTTACAACGTTCACTTTGAACGTCGTGCAAAATATTCAGAAAATATAACTTTTACAACTGAAAATTAAATGAGCTTTGTTATCGATAAATCGCTTTTGACTCCAACTGAATTTAGCACGTGCATTTAATATTGTAAAATAACGCGGTGCGCACGAACGATCGGCAAATAAATAAGTTCCCATAATGCGAAATTAAACAAACTTGATAAAATTATTAATAAAAAGAAAAAGAAAAAATTCAGTACGTATCGTCCTGTTTCGTATCTTTCTCGATCGGATAAAAATTCAAGTTGGATGCGTCCCAGTGGGATAGATCGTAGGATTGTGAAGCGAGTGAATCCTCCGAGGTGATTTAATTTGCGTTGCGCAAAAAGAATCCCGCGCTCTCCTCAACTCGTAATGAGCGTTGGCACATAATTTAATACGCGCGCGGTAAGCGTCGATCTGTGTGTACAACAACATCGTCGAACGCAGCGTCGTGATACACAGCGTCCTGCACACATTCGACACACGTGATCCACACACGTGCGCGCGATAGACAGAGTCGTGTTCGCGCGCGCGCGCCACGTTTATCCGCTCGGGGGAAAAAGGAGAGGGACACAAGGGAGGTTAATTAGAGATTCAGTTTTGCATAGTCGGATTCGGCTCGGACGATGAGAACGACCTTCGAAGGGTACGAGGAGCTCGCGGCGACAGCGACGAGGACGAGGTCGAAAACGTCTGTGTGAGATATTGATTCGGCCGGCCCTCTTTCCTGCGGTAGTCACGTGAAAGAAGAAGTGGACGAAGCTCGAAGCCGCATTCGTGCACGTATATTGATTCGACCGGCAGAACGAGAGAGAGAGAGAGAGAGAGAGAGAGAGAGAGAGAGAGAGAGAGAGCGAGAGAGCGAACGAGAAAGGGATAGACGAGCGACAAAGCGCGCGGGCTCTCTCGAGCACGCGAGTCACGAGAAGAAAGAGAAGGATTTGTACGTTAGCCTCCTCTGTGCGTCCGCTCGGCTCTCGGCTTTTCGTCTCGCGTAATAATTATTAATAAAGCCGACCGACTCGTTTTTCCCCGATCAAAGTTTCATGTCGCGACGGTATAATATCAACGTCTCGCTCGAGATCAACGAAATGGCACGCGGATCGGATCACCGTCCCTCAGCGACGCGAGTTTCGTCTGAAACTCGCTCGCTAACGCTGAATTATTTGAGATTTTAAGTAAAAATACATGTTTTTTATATTTGATGTAAATAAAAAACTAGTCCGCGATGTTGAAATTTTAAATATCGCGGACTAGTTCGTACGTTTGTTATATTTTTAAAAAGATCAAGCGCCAAATTGCAACAAAATGTTATTCTTTTATCGGAGAACTAAATTTTTAGTTGTATTTAATTGGCATTAAATTTTTAGTTGTATTTAATTGGCATTAAATTTATTCTACGATTATTACGTGTAATCATTTGGCACAAAAAAAGTGGCGAATTTGTAAGGATAACAAGCTCGACAAAATAGCATTCGCATTGTATTTGTCAAATTGTCTCGCATTACGCGAGAGAATTAATTTATGAGTAACATACGTGTGCTCCTTCTTCGAGCACGTGACAATTATTGTGTTTGACGTCGAATGATGGCGAGACTTGGCGGAGACTTCGCGCGGCGTTATTTCAGCGATTCTCGGCGGACGCGCGGAATCCCGGTGAAAACAAACGATCGCGGCTCGAAACGTTTTTCTTTGCCGGCGCGGCCGTTTCGTCGTCGTGTGCGCCGCCGGACGCGCGCGCGCGCGCACACACATACACGTACACACACGTCGCCATAACTCGTGCCAGGTAACATGAGAAACGGCGACTCCCAAGCCCCGCTTTTCGTAAGCGGCTTACTTGCACGACGGAAAATTGTACTACAGTCCCTGGCCGCGGCGCGCGTGCCTTTTTCTTCGCCTTAACTGTCTCCACGTCGTCGTACATAAAACGCGCGACGCGTCTTTTTCCACCCCCTTCTCCTCACTTGGTTTCACCCTGGAAACGCTTCGCGCTCCGATGTTTATGCTGCACATAAGCAAACACAGTTTTTCTCCGGCTAATGTACGCGCGAAATCGCCAAGAGTTATGACGCGTTTCCGAGTTTTCACGACTAGAATGATTAAATTATACACGGCGTTTTTCATTCACGCGCGGGCAGTCGACGCGTTCGATCGATTATACAGAGTTGATTCCTACAATGTTTCCGTAATATTCTACGAGTGGCGATATATTTTTGCCGCTGATACTCGAGCCGAGTAAAAACAACCTGCTGTCGATATCTGAATTTAAACACAAACTCTCGCCGAAGCGAGAAAAAAGAGAGAAACAATGAAAGATTTTTGCAATTGTGCGCATTTACACGAAGATGCGCATGGAACGTCTTCGCTCAACGTCCATCAACGAACCGTTACCGCAGATTTTGCACGTCTCAGGGAGTGTGTGCTTTTCTAATCGGCACTCATGTGTGTGAGGCAGGTCTTTGTGCGTGCGCGACCCGCGTTATCTGTCCGCCGATATTTTCCGCGACAACAATGACGACGACGACGACCGTAATCTCGACATTGATAATGTCTGTCGTTTGCTCGAGCGTGCTTGTGCATTGCGTAGTTTCTGCGCTTTTCCGACTCTATCTATCTGTCTGTCTGTTCGCGGCTTGCGCTTAACCCCACCCTCCTTCCATCCCGATTCCCACTCGTCTCCCCCCCACGGACCCACGCGTTCAGAAGCCCCAGAAACAGAAAGCATTTTAAGCCTTTGCATCCGCAGTAACGCGAGTTTTCGCTTTTGGTATGTTTCCAGAACAGCAGGAACCGGAGTTCGACCGTGCGGGAGGAGCCCAGCAGCGCACCAAATAAATGACGTAAATCCGAGGAACGGAAGCGCAACGTCACTCGCTAACTCGCAATTCTCTCCTTCCCCTCCCGATCCCCCCCGCCCTGCCCTGTCCTACCTACCCCCCCGAAAACTCCCCCCTTTTTCTCTCTGTCTCGCCGAGCCTTTCCCTCTCCGTTGCACTCCTGGAACCCTTGCCTCTCTTCTTCTGTTCGGGTCCGACCCCGACACGACCCGGAGCCCAGGGCGCGACCCAGCCGCCGGACCTTCACCCTCTCTTTTCGCCACTACGCCCGCTTTGTCGCCCGCCGTCTTCACGAGCTTACACTCTTCTCTTCTCCAGTCCGTCTCCATCATCACTATCTTTGCACGCTTCTTCGACGTCTGCATCCGGCGTCGGCATCTCGTCCACATTCCCGGCTCTGTCCTCATCTCCGTGAAGTTCCGAAACAACCGATCCGCGCGCCGCCGTTCTCCCCGGCACCGGCAGGACGGCGCGTAAGGATTATCTCCACCTTTTCACGCACGGAGCGGCTCACCCGCCTACATCTCCCGCCTGCTCTTCCTACCATCTTATCAGCAACGGTATCGGCAGACCTCCGTGGTGAACACGGATCTCGTACTCCAGCATCACCATCACCGTCCCGCTCCTTCCAGTAGACTCGCGAGACACACGCGTTGGTTTGAAACCGGCTTGAAGGACGCCACGACCGGCTTTTCGAGACACGCATACGTAGGCAAACACATATACACACACACGCGCGCCCGTACACCCTCAGCGGCGACCAACTGCAGCCTGTGTGTATAAAAGAAGAGAGAGAGGGAGAGAGAGATACTCGGTACAAAAGCGCGCGAGCCTAGAGAGCACACTCCTACTGGTCGACGTTTAGCTTCGAAGGCTTTCAAGCTTTGCTCGACTACTACTACCACCGCCACTACTACTATTACTACTATTACTACCGCTACTACTACCACTACTACTACGCCCGGCTACAGCTTCTCGAGTGCGGCACGCTGCAAGATCGAGAGAGGACAAGAAGTATAGAGTGAACGAGAGAGAGAGAGAGAAAGGAGTCGATAGACAAGATCGACGACCTTACGCCATCGTCTTATCACCAGGAATAGTGGCCACCATCTCGCCTAAAACCGAACGGGGCCGCCTGAGCCTAATCGCTGTCGATATATAGCTTCACCTCTTCGCTTCTTCTTTTTCCCTTCTCCCCCTCCGACGAGATATATCTATATTCATCCTCTCCCCCGACTTTTATCACCTTTCTCGGAAGATTATCGAACGGGTAAGCGCGTGTAGTATTTGCCTCTTTCACACACGTCTCGGCCTAAACGAGAACAAAGAATTTTAAAAGAGCCACGACGCATTCCTCAACTCGCCGGAGTCGATATCGAGAGCGAGAAAGAAGCGATAAGCCACGCTTGAAAACAAGCCGACGTTGCTGATAAACGCGAGTCCCCGATTCGCGAGACGACGATTCGCGCTGATAAAATAACGCGCGATAACAACACGACGACAAGGTTAAGCGCGCCGGTTCCGAGGGTGAGGAAGACACGAGATCGCGAGACGCGGTACGAAGTTTCCCACGCGGAATATCCAGGAAAAGCAACCGTGCGTCGTCGCTAGACGTCGTGCGTTCATCGGACATTAAGATCATCGCATCGCGCTTAAACGGGAGATCTGTCGTAAGGTATACCAGTTTTGAAGTTGTTTCACGACTCCGAGGCACTCGCGGGATTTCGCGCAGCGTGCGCGTGTGTGTGAGTCCGGTGTGCGAACGGTGGGAGAAAGTGAGCGAGCGAGTGAGAGAGAGAGAGTGAGAGAGTGAGAGAGAGAGAGAGAGAGAGAGATCGAAAGAGGAGCGAGAGAGGTGGGGTGAGAGAACGAGACGAAGTGGTGGAACGAAAGGGTTCAGTGCTGGACGTCGCGAAATCCCGCGAACAAGTGCCGACGAGCTCGTCTCGCGAAGTGGTAGTCGTAGTCTATAAATCGAAAACGTATATATCGTTGCCGGCAAGATCAGTCGACGCGAGTGCAGAAGCAAAAGGAAGAGCCGGCCATCACGTGGAAGAATTTAGAGAGAGCGAAGCGGAAAACGAAGAGTAGTCTCTCTCTGTGGTGAAGTCAGTGGTAAAGAGAGAGTTCGGGACTTGCTCTCTCTCTCGCGCGCGCGGTAGAAGTCCAAGGAGCGTAACGCAGGATTCTCGGTCTTCCGAAAGAGTGGAAGGATGGCAATGGTCAACATGAATAACCTACTGAACGGCAAGGACTCGCGGTGGCTCCAGTTGGAGGTTTGCAGGGAGTTCCAGCGCAACAAGTGCACCAGACCCGACACGGAGTGCAAGTTCGCTCATCCGCCGGCTAACGTCGAGGTGCAGAATGGACGGGTCACCGCCTGCTACGACAGTATCAAGGTAACGAACCGTTGCATAATCGAGTTTTCGTACTCGCGCGTAACGAGCGCGTTCGCGCGCGCGGAGCGGAATCGCCGCCCGGCCTGTGCGCGGCCCTCGATAAACTCCGCCTTCACTTATCTAACCCGAGAGAGAAGTCACTTCTCCATCGTCCCGAAATGAAATCCGGAAGCTTAATTGAGAAACGTCATTGAGAATTTCAATCTCCACTTTTTCAAATTTTTTTATTTATTATATTTTATTATATATTATTATATTATTTTACTTTGTAATTTGATATTCACACTGTGGTTAGAAATTACACGCGAGTTGAATTTGCAATTAATACTCTTCGATTGTTATCATCTGCATCAAGCAGCGTTACACAGTGGATAACTGAATGGAAACTCGAAGAGTCTTTTCGTCGGCATCGACTTTTGTTAGATAAGTGAAGTTACCGCACGCGTTACTTTTCTCATAAGGCGGGAGCGCCTTGCTGCTCCGCCGAGATGAAAAATGTCGCGTTAATTGACTGTGTAAATCAATAGGAGCGGTTTGTTAATAATAGTATTATTCAGTTGTACAGTCAAAGCGATTTCATTAAGTAAACACGAAACGTGTTGATATTTCCGCACGCTGTTAAAACACTCAAGATAAGAGAAGTGCGCGATTAGTCATTTTAAAAGGTGATAAATAAAACGTTCGAAAAAGTATCGAGACTGTGGATATCGAGGTTCGTGTTTGCAAAATTGTTTTCCTCGACACGAAACGCATTTTGAAGACCTTTTTAACCTCCATCTCTGTGTATAATATGTTAGCTCTTTTCTAATATCCCGCACGCTAACTATCAAAATGAATACACGTGTACGCAGCGAGATCGGCGATCGATCTCTCGGCTGCGCTTTCCGACTGCTGATCTCTCGATACAAAGCCGATAATTTGTAACGCCACGTAGCGAGATAAGAAACCGATTGTAATTTACGACCGGGTAATAACTCTCTTATCGTTGATCGGGCGCTATCGGGGGGAGGGATTTTTTCCCTCCGAGAGGGGATGGGGACGCGTCGGTTTATGGATTTTAGAATATTCTCTCGCGCTTTTCTCTCGAGGCGAGGCGCGCATCAAACGAACGCGAGAAAGAGGGAGAGATTGCGGAGAAGGCGCGGCTCTCTCCGAGACGTCTTTCGTCCCGGTGTAGATATTGAACCGGAGAATTGAATTCGCAGTTATTAATAGCGACAATTATTCAACGCGCGAGCGGCGCGAGAATACCAATCGACATCGCCGATAAATCAGACGCGGGGGAGACAGCGCCGACTATTATGTAAAAAAAAAAAAAAAAAAAAAAAAAAAAATT